TGTACCTCAAAATAATGTTTTCTACTGCAGTGAAGTCTAAGTTATAATCAAAAAAGTTGTAAAGAAAACTTATTAATAAAAATGTTTTTATATGCCGTTTACGGATATATCAACGATTTACTTCGTTAGTAAGATTTAAAAGGTTTCTTTTTAAATCGAACCCACTAGCAATTTAATTTAGTTATTTTATAAAAATATGAATTTATATCGAACCCTTTAATTTAAAAAAAAATTAAATACATATTTTTTAATTAGATTAGATTGCTTGTGAGTTTTATTTAAAAAAGATAAGTTTTTTAAACTTATAAATTTAATAGCTTTTGACCAAATAAAACGTAATGTAACGTTAAATGATTAAAATATTAGACGCAATTAAAATACGTCTATATAAGTTGAAAAAAAGCTATACTGGTATTTATTTTAACTTTTATCAGTGTGGAAAAAATTACTTCTAATTTTTTTTTTTAATTTTTCACGAAAAAACGTTTCTGTCCGTTTTTTGTAATTAATGAATTGCAACTTTGCAAATTGAATTTTTTAACTAAAAAATATTTTTCTGAAATTTTTTTTAGTTACTAATGTCTCGACGAACGCATTGTTGAATACCATATTTCATTAATGATTTACGTTATTTAACAAATTCTTTTTATTAACAGTTATAAATGCATTGAATTCAATGCAGTCTTTTTTTAAAAAAAATACCCACAAACAATCTAATTCCTTACTTTAAATATTATTACTGTAACCCATGGAAAGAACTTGTTACGTATAAAAATAAAAAATTATTCCTCAATTATAACACGTCACAAATATAATTTTTTTTTTACGTTACCTTACGTCTATTTTTTACTTGTAAGAGTGTAACGAATTTAGACGTAACATAACGTTAAAAAAATTTATGTTTGAGACGTATTTCAGTTACGTCTCAAATCCAGATTTTGTTACGTTATGTAACGTCTCAACTAATTACTCTTTTAAAAGTTAAAAAAAAAAAACCAATTAAGACGTAATGTTACGAATTGAGACTTTTTGTTTTTTCGTGACAAAGTAACGAATTGAGACAAAGCTATTTTACAATAAAAATAAAATAAAAGATAGTATTTAGCAATACGGTAATGATGAACAAACAATTTACTGCACTTTCAAGTTTATTTACTTAATAGTTGAATAAAAAGTAGAGAATGTAACCTTGTTACCAATTGTAACCGATTGAGACGTAACGTAACTTTAAAATGTTATAGGGGTTAGTAATACATTTTTAGATTCATTGTTTAAGATTTCAATAGTTAAAATTTCTTTATCGCCGTCAGAAACACTTAAATCATTCCTAACGTAATGCGCAATGGTTTCTTTCACGTAAATAAGAACTCCGCCACTGCGTTTATTTGTATGTCTCTCATGGGATATTAACTCCAAACGGGGAAGATAAAAGTTTGCGTTATTACTTAAATTGTTTGCGTTTATCCATAGTCACAAGAATAGCCGAAAAAGCTAGAACCCAGATCCTTTGAAGTGCAAAACATTAAAGAAATAAAAATAAACTCGTTCAGGTCATAGTCACAAGAAAGATCTATTCTTGTTACAAAGTTCAAATAAGTTTAGTTTTGCGTCAAATAATCGTGCTTGTTACAATTTATAAATTCTTTTCATTATTCTAGTTGTATCGTTGTTTTAACTTTTTAGAGACTGAAATTTTTGCCATAAGTTTAAACTTCTAGAGGTAAAAAAAAAATATTATTTCAGTTACAATTTAGTTTATTAAACGTGTTTAATATACTAGAGTGGAGCTGAAATCAGTTGTTTGAATCTAGATTTATCATGCCTAGAGCAAACTGCGCAGTTTATGGCTGTGGAAGTAGTAGGTATAAAAAACAAGGAGAAGATACAGTTAGTATTTTTAAACTTCCAAACCCAAATAGAAGCGAACTTTTCTCAAATTGGAATAAAGAAATACTGAGAATTATCACAAGAGATAGAGTTGTATCCCTTGATTTTAAAAAACAAATCAAAAAGAATAGTGTTTATATATGTGAAAAGCATTTTGAATATTCAGATATATACACCTGTAAGTGTGCTTAATAAGTGTTGATATTTATTGAGTACGCGTATACATTACTTTTATTATAATTTTATGATAGGTTGAATTACAGACAGTGAAGCAAATACTATTTAACAAATTCTTTTTAATTATTTTTCAGATCAACACAAAAAAGAATTAAAAGAATTTGCACTTCCATCAAAAAACTTACCAAAAAAAACTTTATCTGAAGATCTCACTGTGCATCGTAAAAAAACAGCACTTGACAAACGAGCTATGGCTTTAGCATTACACGGTAGTAAAAAAGTAGATAAAAAATTAATTTATAATGATTTTGAACAGTTTCTTAAAAAAATTAAAGTAGCAGCATTTACTACATGGACTGTTGAAACTTCACAAAACTATGTGTTATTTAAAGTTATTGATGGGAAACATTTTATACCAGAAATTGAGCTACATGTA